GTCTGGAACCAACATTATATCTGGTGAGTGGTTAAAGAAAAACAACTGATATTTTGTGTATGGATATACTATGGTTTTACCTATCTTTTGGTGCCTTACGAAATTTTTTACCACTTATAGGAAACGCCCTGTGGAGGATGCAGTAAAAAGTTTTAATGGAAGCCTATGGTAAATGATACATGATTTTAAAGGCCATTTTTTTCTGAGTAAGGAGCCACAAGTTTCATCTCAAAAGGACCACCCTAGCGAAAATGGCGACTGTTTGAAATTTAAAAACCCAATTATAGGGAACGTCCTGTGGAGGATGCAGTAAAAAAAAACCAGTCGCCATTTTTGCTAGGGTGGTCCTTTTGAGATGAAACTTGTGGCTCCTTACTCAGAAAAAAATGACCTTTAAAATGATGTATCATTTACCATAGGCTTTTCATTAAAACTTTTTACTGCATCCTCCACAGGACGTTTCCTATAAGTGGGTTTTTAAATTTCAAACAGTCGTCATTTTCGCTAGGGTGGTCCTTTTGAGATGAAACTTGTGGCTCCTTACTCAGAAAAAAATGGCCTTTAAAATCATGTATCATTTACCATAGGCTTCCATTAAAACTTTTTACTGCATCCTCCACAGGGCGTTCCCTATAAGTGGTAAAAAATTTCATAAGGCACCAAAAGATAGGTAAAACCATAGTATATCCATACACAAAATATCAGTTGTTTTTCTTTAACCACTCACCAGATATAATGTTGGTTCCAGACATTTTCAACACCCTGTATGGTTGAAATGAACTGAGACATATTATCCAATATGGTAGTCTGTTTCTCGATCTGAACACCAAATGCACATCCTCAGGAATTTGTGATTTTATATTTGATATATATTAGATTTTTTATTTTAATTTTTTGTGACATTAATCTCAATTTTTCTTGCAAATCTTCAATTTCAATAGGTAAAGTTTGGTGTTGTATTTCAATTTCATTAGGTAAAGTTTGGTGTTGGATTTCAATTTCATTAGGTAAAGTTTGGCGTTGGATTTCAATTTCATTTGGTAAAGTTTGGTGTTGGATTTAAATTTTATTTGATGACGATTCTTCTGTTGTTTGTGAGGTTGCCAAAGTGTTCTTCGTTTCCAAAGTGCCATTTACGATTGATTTTTGGATATTCAAAGCTAGAATTGCATATTTTCTTAGGTTCCTAAAATTGGTTGGTATTTTCAAGGTGTTACGAAATTGTCCTCAGTAAAATGTTCCGAACAGACCCGTGCGTTTTTCACATTAATGCCAACCCGACCACACGAGCGTAGCCACTGTCGTTTTAGATAATCATTTTCTGGAAATCTATAATATTTTATTAGGGAGTCTTTAGTTTTTCGATAGTAATTTTTACAACCGGCAACTGCACAAAACGCCATTACACTATTTTGAAAACATTACATAAACAATAACAATCAAATCAAAACAAACACATACTGAAATGACAGTTACAATCAGGTGATCTTTTGTTTGCAATCCGAGTGACGTCAGAATATGACGGGAATAGCACACTTATGCTTTTTCCTTACACCATGAACCAAAACCTTATTATCTGTAATCAGATGTTTTATCTTTACTTTGAAATGATTGTTTTATAGAATATCTCGGGAGCAGAATCTGTACCTCTTAACTTCTGCTCTTCAAACTGTCAAATTTAAGTATTTACAGCTGACTTAAATTAATTGATATATTTACATTCTTTTCAAATGTAAACATGGACAATTTGGAAGCCAAGGGGGCGTAGCACAAGGGAAATATGAAAATTAAATGATATAATATTGCATTGTCGTCCATTTGTGAGCTAAGTTTCAAGTCTCTAGCTCATCGGGAAGTTAGTACAAAATTGATTGCAAAATTTGTACCGGACAAGCTCATGGGGCTTAGCTCAAGGGAAATATGGAACTTAAATGATATAATATGGCATTGTCTTCCATTTGTGAGCTATGTTTCAAGTCTCTAGCTCGTCGGGAAGTTAGAATAAAACTGATTTCAAAATTTGTACCCGACAAGAAAGCGAGCTAATAAACACGTGATATTAACGAATACATCTTTTAAATTATTTAAAAATAATCCTAATTAGAGTAATTACCACGTATACAAAACTGTGACTTTGAAATTATTTTTATCTTTTATTTATTTGTTTGAAACCTTTAAACACCTTTTAATATGTTTAATTAAATGTATATTTACTATATCTTTGTCACTTAATTATATTAATTGAATAATTAATTATATTAATTATTAATATAATTATTTTATATTAATTCAAAGCAGTTGGAAACTTTTGTCCGGTGCATCACGAAGGATTAGAGTTAAAAATATGTTTTTTAAATATAAAAATTTATACTTTTAAGACATTAAAGAATATACGTAATAAGAAAAGGTTTCATGTAATAAAATAAGAATTTTCAAATTTAAGATTTATTGAATGACTCACAGAACAAGATTGTGTTCCAATTTCATAGGAAACTCTGCGATTTTACTGAGTCCCGTGCATCTCGGCCACATATTTGGTGATTCCTGATAAATACACGATCAAATTAATTCAACTTCATATGATTAGAACCTACAGGTTAAAATATACTTCACCTACATGAAGAAAAATTCTTATTAGTGATATATTTTAGAAATAAATTAAAATACATCTTCCAACACCGTTAGATTTATATATACATATATTTTTAACTTTCTCTAGAAGTCCCCAATTTGGCCTGGAATTGCCAAATTGCCCCAAAGGTCTGGAGTGACTGATCACAATCAGACTTCTTGCATTTTAAAACGTTACAGTATAAACGCTGATACATCAAACAGATTTTAAAGACTTACTTCATAATATTTGTATGCATTTATTATCATCCCGCTAAAGATTGAGATTAGTACGACGAAAATTTAAATTAACGTTTGATTGACGATTGCGATGGCACAAATGTGTTTACTTAGTAGTAACATGAGTCTGATAACGACGGCGATAAATAATTCTACTTCACGCGAAGGTCGCCGAAGTTCTGATCGAGCAAAGTTTGGAATGAAACACTTCTGTCTTCCGAGACTTAAGTTGCTCTCATAAGGGGGACATCTCTGCTGATTAAAGTTTAAGGTCAAGTTCTGGAATACTGATTTTAAGATTAGTATTCCAAAGTTTTTCGATTATTTCTTCAGCATAAAGTCATCATCTTGCACATTTATCCACAAACATAGGTGATTCCGAACTAAATGGTGTACCATTGACTATTGTATACTGAAGGTGGTATATTTTTTTGAAGAAGATATTTGAGATGTTTTAACTAAATTAACCGCTTTTAACCCCCTTAATACTTTACATATCAAACATTCACTTGTTTATATTTTGGGAAAATTTCTATCAGTAAATTTATTGCAGTTTTTTTCATGGTGATTATCATAAACTATTTAAAATTTATTTTTAGTTTTAAAAATAGAGGGTTAATTTTATAGTTCCCACTGTCATGATCAATTTGCAGGAAACGCTTTATAGAAAACTTGAAATGGGTTATATAATTTAATTATAGTGTTATTAGCCATTGAAATAGGGAAACGAATGTGCGTATTTCAACCTAATTTAAAACAGTACTAAACATACAAACACAGTATAAATTATTTATTTGTACATTGGGATGCCATTAATAATTTATTTTGTGGATGCTTTAAAATGATCGTTGATTGGATTTTTTTTAGAATCTGAGGACTTGTTTAATAGCTACCAAATTTGAACTACTCTGTCCATAAAAAATAATGTGGAAAAATCCTGCAGCTAAATATTTTTAACCTGCCAAATAATATTATGTTTTAACCAAACAACATATCATTCAAATTCCAAATATAAAAATAAAATATCTTATTGGTTGATATAAAATATTAATATTGTATTGATTAGCATCAAGTATCGGAGTACTGTATTAATGATAGTTTCATAGATAATTTGATATTAGTAACAAAATAAAATAAATCCAACGACGAATAAAACAAATAACTGAAAGATATTACGATTTTACCCTTATGAGGTGTACGAGTAATAGATCTTGCTAATTATTAGTATTATAATTGTCACAGTATTGACTGAGACTATGATTTATTTTAAATACCCATTTTCCTTAAACTCATATATTATGTTTGCCAATACTGTAAGCTGCTCAGATTTGCTATCAATATGTCCACCAGACCATGATATATCTGGTATGCGAGATGTATGGAGAATGTGCATCACCAGGACGTATACTGTATAAATCACCAAACACCATCCTCGGTTGTGTAGTGCATCACCAGGACGTATACTGTATAAATCACCAAACACCATCCTCGGTTGGGTAGTATTCATTCCCTTCACATTGTAACCACACATTCATTCTCGGGATAAATGATTTTCTGTCGTATTATACCTAGTCCTAATATTTACTACTCTTATTTGCTTGGACGAATTTAGATTCAAACTTATATACTATAATATATATTTCTAATCTTTTTTGTTTCAATGTTGGTTCTGCAGTGAAGTGGGAATTTTGTTTTGGTCTTTAATAATTTTATTATGTACTTTTGTTTCTAAAACTTGCAAGAACCTATGATAAAAAATACTATGTAATATTATAAAGTTACAAATCTAATCTTTTGCAATTTTAAAATCGATAATTATATTCTTCATCGATAAGCTATTATTATTTTCGTATTTTGTAGTGACAGTATTTAGAAATAGTCAATGGTCAATGTTTCATGAACTTAGTAATCAAAGCAGGATACTAAGTTAACATTCTTATTTAAACTGTAGAGATCGCAGAAAATAGTGTGTCTTTGTACGTCTGTGATCACTGCTAAGTAATTAACTAAAGCTGAATAGAATATGTGTTTTTCTAAAAGCGTCAAAGGATTTGTTTGTGTCGGTTGTCATACCTTAGCAAGAGTTAAGCTACTAATGGATTATACACGATCTATTTGAAAGCTAATGAAGTTCTCGCCGTGTGTTGCAGGATGTACGGTCTACTGTTGGAGAACATGTCAGAGTTTATCAAGCAGGTGTACGGCGAGGACCGCTGGGAAGAGATACGTCGTCTCGCTCAGGTTGACTCCCCGAGCTTCAGCGTACACCAGGTCTACCCCGAGACACTCATACCGAAACTCGCTAAGAAGGCCATCCAGGTTAGGCTTCAACAAATTACTAATGGTCGTCCAGTGGTTGAAAACTTGACCAAAAACATGTAATGTACACGTATTGACTATTGGATACTGAAGTAGACATCTTATCTATATGGACCAGCTGTCGCCATTTTTTTTTTAAACCATGTAGTTGTGGGAGCCAGTCACCGAATGCGTGTCTTCTATTCTATTCTCTACCTTGCTATAGCTCATAATAAGTCAGTCCATAATAGTACAGGTAAAATAGGGTTTTATAAACAACAAAATTTGTACATTCATGAAATTTCACCTGTGAGTTACTAATAATATGAGAAATGAAGATCCGATGAGTCCCCAAAATTTTGGGCGTCCTAAGGCCCTCTATGGGGCCCTTTTTGTTCCGAAGGGCCCTTGTTCCTGAATAATTTTGTTTTTACGTTTATGGTCGAGTGAGGTATGGTTTTCGATGGTTTTAGTTATTTTGAATCAATTGGGACTAGTTTTAAGTGTATAAAACCACTCCATACAGGGTTTTTGGAAATATAAATAATTTTTACGATATTTTAAGATTTATTCATAAAGTAATAAAATTAGTTACCTCCATGCTCTATATATAAAAGGGGATTATTAAAAATAACTTTAAATCTTTACTATATAAGAGGGAAGGGTCACAAGGAGTAAGAGAAAATATTAAATACCCCCCGTCACAGCAAACCTGCAGACTAAGCGAATTTTCATTTGCCCGATTTTACATTAAATCTAAAATAGCATTGAATTTAATGAATACTTAGGTTTGCTGCTACAAGGAGGCTAATAAAGTGTGTTTATAGTAAATTACTAATAGCCTAGTATAAAACAAATAAATTTGACAAGTTTGATCAAAATATATCTATTAACAAACAAACAAAATCATTTTACACTATTCTACATAAGAATAACATCGGAATTTTAAATTTACAATTTTAGTATTTTTATCCGTAACTAATAACCATACAAAACACGTTAACATACTAAATAATTTGTTTTTAAGCTATTTAAAATGTTCTAGAGAAAAATTGGGAAACTGTGTTTTTAGGGTAAAGTAATTGAGAAAACTCAAAGTTTACCCCATAAACCTCGTTCCCATTGTTCAGGACAAAAATGCTTGTACCGACAATGCTGCTCTGATGTCTTAGTGCTGTCCTGGTCGTCATAACCATCAAAGACAACCGTACTTGTATTGATTGAAAATAATTTTCTATTTCAAAATTAGATTCTTTGTATCAATACCAATGAGTTGTTGAAAGCAATATGTCTACTAGTTAGCTTAACCTATATCGTACTAATATCGGTCTCCAGTATCGTCTTAGATAGATATTTTCTCATTGTCTATTAGATTCAACGAACTTTTTTTAAGATTTGATTATTTGTTTGAATTACTGTATTCTGTTTTGTTTATTTCAGCTTAACATAACCAATCAATAGTTTTATTAATACTTTTAAATTCAAACAGGGTGAAGCCCGCGGGTAACAGCTAGTATAAGTTTAACGTGAAAAAGTTTGTCTCAGGGAGAGATATATTTAGACAGTTTTGTTTATGGCTTCAAAACAATATAGATGTTTGGAGTGCAGTGTCGGGAGATATCTTCATAAAGTTTTTCAATATCTGACGTGTGGTTATAAAATTAAAATAAGATACTTGAGCCACCTCTGTATATTTGCAGTATTTTAATTTGTATCTATTATTACTTATTTATTGTTAGCTTAACTAGTAAAATAGATAACTGATGATTTTATGACTTGCTCAAATAGATATATGTTAATTATATTTTCCACATTTTTTATTAACAAAAGAACGTAAATAAATAAATGAATAATTGTAATTGTGTTATTGGAACTTAAATGTCATTCAAAATGTTTTAGCCTACAAGTTTTTAAATCAGAAAAACCACTATGTGTTGATTAAAGTTTGTGATTATAAATCATTCAAGGAATAAATTATCCATTTGACATGTTTTTTACCTTTTTTATCATCGACGAAACCCCTTGTAGAGCGACTTTTTTTATCTAAACGTCAAAGCAATCTTCAAAAGAATGAGATCTATTTCATTAGGCATTGTCCACATTTCTCGAATTATTGATTTTTTTTAGTTTCTTTACCACACATAAAACGGAGTTTGATTTTATAACAATACTATAAGAACCTATTGATTTTTGTGTGGTGGAGGGCTGTACTGCTGTGTGACGTCACGCTCCTGAAAAAAATTGAATTAGACTAAGATTAACAATGATTTTAAAATTTAATACCCACTATTTGTATTCTTAAATATTTAACTTAAATTAATGTTAGTGTTAAGTGACATCATTTTATAGATCATAATAGCTCATTAAAAGTGCTCATCAAAAATGCCTTTTGAACGTTTTGAAGATATTGATTACGTTTTTCAGCGAATACAAAATTCGAGGAATATGTCTCTTTAATAAGTTAAATGAAATGAGATTTTTTTTCCTCTAAGCACTGTACAAAATGCAATGTGCATCGTCAATAGATCTGTTTTAATTGGAAAATTCCTATATTTTGATCCTCATTCTAAATTACCTATCATCGATTAACAAAAAAGCTAACATTCAAGCAATGCATTAACTACTGTGGGGAGTATTAACATATAAACTGTAATAATAATAAAACCCCAGTACCAATGAATTGCATGTATAGACTACATGACAATTAGTCAATATACGTTGAAAAAACAACAAGAAAGAAAGAAAAAGGTGAACAGCAGATTGTAGTTTTAGATATGCCAAGTAAGACGTTTAAATTCCGGGTCTTTACTCTTATTTTTATAATCGTAAATATGTTAATTGGTTCTTAAAACTGAGTGTACGCTAAGTGTCTATATTTTGTTAACTATATTTGGTGTTAAAATATTGGTGTTATTTATCAGTTAGATCCACATGAAGAAGATTTGATCGTATCTAAAGAGATTGAAACACCCTTTCCGAATTATTGGTGTCAACGACGAGAAACAAGTATCCATTTTGATTATTATTGTCTAATCGGACCTTATTTATTCAACAAACATTAAATAAGATTCTTACGAAAGTTTGAGTGCCAATTTGGAAAAACATAATGCTCCTAAGTGCCGCATTGTTGCCGAGTGTTACACATTTTATAGCCTTTGTCAGAAACACTCTGAAACTATTGTGGAGTTTGTCCACACTATGCCGACCACATTACTCTACAAAACAAAAATTCTATTCACATCCTCTTTAAAGTAATTACAACAGGTATTTTAATTTAACAAAAGAAGGTAAATGTTTAAAATGATAATGCTGAGAGATAGGCTTAACTAAATGATTGACGATTTTCTGATATCTTCACCTCAGTCGATACAATTTTTAAGACCAGAGTCAATCAACTTACTTGCCTGTATGCCGTTGTGTTGCAGGTACTTGGAGTGACCGAGAGAGAGTTTTTTGACCAGATGGGAGTTCACTTCGTTGGGTTCGTGGGCCAGTATGGATACGACCGAGTACTCTCAGTGCTAGGCCGTCATATGCGAGACTTCCTCAACGGTAAATATATACAGTATTTTTGTAACTAAGTGCAATCTGTTACATATGTTATTAGGATTCACAGCTGATGTCCACAATCAAATGTTATTATGTTTGTTTCATTTAGGGCCGCTTTCCCCAAATCTAGTTTTTAACTCTGATCGCGGTTTAAACTCTAGTTAAACCACAGATTCACTTTCCCAAAAATAGTTTCTCCGTTTAAACTAGGTTTAAGTTAACCCTCCTGGGCGAGGCCGGTTAACTGCCGATCTATGGGTTAAACCAGTAGAGAATAATAATAACTTGATTTTGATTGGACTCTTGAAACTGCTGAAAAAAATATTTTTTATGAACTTTGATTTCAAATTCACACATAACCTAAAAAGTTCTGTTGTTTTGTTTTTTTTTTTTGTTCTGAAGGCGATAAATACGGAAAAGTTTTGTTTTTATTTCTAAAGTATTTATTGAAACTGAAACTCATAAACACATGACCTAAATATAGTACTGTTATTTCAAATAAATACGTAAAGGTTAGTTTTAGTTTATAAAGTATGAATGAAACTGGAACTGAAAGTATATATTGTCCTATTGAGGTCCTTTTTTATTCTATTTAGCTGTTTTATATAATATAGCCTAGTTTTTATCAACATTTTTAGACTGGGCCTATTCAATCAGTATTGTTTTTGTTAAAATAATACATAAACTAATTTGACCTTAACTACTAACCCTATTTCTGATACTCCCTCGCGCAATTATTATCATTAATAATGGAAGACTTAGAAATATTTAATGAGTGTGAAGAAGACGATTTTAATACAACCTTGCCCTAAACTAGAGGACCACCGAAAATAAGAGACCGAGTCGATCACTTAGAAAAATGGGACGAGTATGATTTTTTTCATAGGTTCAGAATGCATAAAAGGACGGCAAATTTAGTTTAGGAGTTGATTCAGGGTCAAATATCTTCAAAAACGTTCAAGAATCGTGAAGTGTAGCCTGCCCTTAGGCTTCTTACATTCCCTAGATTTTATGCCCCAGGCAACTTTCTCATAAATGTAGAGAGCTGAGTGGGCTACACTATTTTACAACAAGTAAGGTTGTTAAGCAAGTATCCTCAGCAATAGCTCGATTAAGCTCTGAAGCCATTCAGTTGCCAGTAGATCAAGAAGTATTAGGCAAAATAAAGAATGGATTTTATAAGAAAGCCCGGTTCCCAAATTGCATGGGAGCCTTAGATTGTACCGACATTAAAATCCAATCACCCGGAGGAGACAATGCTGAACTGTATAGAAATCGAAAGGGAATATTCTCTACGAATGTTCAAACCTTGTGTGACAGTGAACTAGGCTAATTATAAGGATCATTGTGACTCGATGGCCAGGATCTACTCATGACTAGCATATTTTCAAATCGTCCCGTATCAGGCATAATTTTGAGAAAGAAAGCTACTTTTAATTTATAGAGATAATTAATTTATTGATCTGAGACAGTGTTGCATGCACTAACTACTTGATAACACCATTAGACAATGTCAATACTCCTGAGGAATATCTCACCAAGAAGGCAGTCACCAGGACAAGAAATACCATTGAGAGGTGTTACGGAGTATGGAAACGTAGATTTACCATACTCTCGCTTGGAATTCGATTAAACCTGGACAGAATTGAGAGCGTAATTGTGGGAAATGCTGTCATACACAACATTTGTTGCAAAGAGAATTAGGATGTTCCTCCAGTCACCGAAGACGTTGACCAAGCGATCACAGATCTACTTAACTGTCGATGAAGAGTTTTTTTACAGGAACCGCGGTGTAGCTGAAAGAGAGAACACAGTGACAAGGAATAATCTTGTTTATGGATATTTTAGGTCACTTTTGGAAAGACCTTGAACCATTAAAAAGTAACTTGTAGCTAATTAAAGTAGTGGTTAATTTGTTGTATTAAACTAAACCAACAACTAACACAATGGCTCTGATAGAACTTAATTTAAGTTCTTAGATTTTTTAGTTAGAACTTAAATTGAGTGGCAGCCTATTTTGATATGTAAAATAATTATTTTGTATCTTTAGGCCTGCCAACAACCCACAAATGACCGCCTGTTTTTCTAATTGAAGTACCGAAAAGAACATTTATATTTTGTATCAAACCCTAAAATACAAGTAAGAAAGAAAAGATACATGTAAATAAGATTGTAAATAGTTAAAAAACAAATTAATTGTTTAACACAATGACAATGTTAAAACTAGTTCGTGGTTTAAAGTAGGCCTAGCTCTGAATGTGTGATTGACAGCAGTTTTTAACTGTGTTCTTCAACCGGAATATCAATTCCTTCCTTCGAAACTGTTGAGTTGAATCATCCTCATTCTTTGGCCTGAAAAAAAAACATAAAATGATAATAAACAAATAAAAATATATAATCAACAAGTAGTCTAGTCATATTTGAGAAATTACCTAAAATAAACTCTTTATAAATATGTATCCAGCCTCTAGTTGATACATATTATTGTGTGTTGTGTGTTGTTATTCCTGTTTTATTAAGTATTGAAAAAGGGGTAGATAATTATTTAATTTTTGTTCCTGAAGTTGGAACTAGGCACATATTTTCTTACATGGAGTGTGTTTTCGTATGAATCTTCAATATGATATTAAAATATAAATTAAAGAATGGTAAAAACTTCAAATTAACAATGCTTGTCAGTAATAGTTTTTAGTTTACTGTCATAATTTCTTAATAAGTACTAAAAAGGTACACTTTCCTCTAAAACTGTTTCGGATGTAATATTGAAATTTTACTGCGTTTTAGGTTAGCATGTATATAAAGTTTGCAAGTTTGAAGTTGAGAATGATAACAGTGACGAAGAAATTGTTAGTCTTCTAAGACCAAGGTTTGATTTGTTAATCATCTGTTTTAGTTCCTGATGTGTGTAGAAAAAAAATTTCCTGACTATTAAAACATACGAAAAGGAACTAGGATTTGATGCCTGACGTGGGGCTACATTAAACATGTATTCGGTTGGAAATCGTCGATGCTCGTATTGTTAAACTTGGCAGTCAGTGAATGTAGTACATCATATAACGTGATCTGAATATGTGTGAGAAACAAATGTTAAAAAACATATATTAGACCTTTACTTTACAAGTATACAAATAAACTAATAATATAGGTACAGTAGCCTATGTTGTGTTATATATCTAGTGAACTGGATTTTAGCCATCTAATTAAAACCTGTATATATTATTATAGTTAATCTATTATCTTAAATAGTATACAGGGTGATTACAAATTAAAAAGATAGTTTGTATTTAATTAATATACAGTTTTTCTATGTCATTATTGTTATCACCCTGTATATTACAACCTTATAAAGGGACAATCAAAAAAAGTACGTATTTGATTAGCTTATAACATTTTCCTGCCAGTTTAAACTTCTCTCATTATTTTTATTTAACAAATCTGTGGAGAACCCTACCTCGGTAATATTTTCACACGGTTTGTCAAATTAACTTCTAATACTTTTTTTAAGCGTTTAGAGCGTGCATTTTTTTTTAATATTTTTTTTATAAAAAAAATGTAGTTCAACAAGACCTGTCCCATGTTGTGTACACGATTAAGCCATGTTTATCAACTCTTCATCAGTTTATGTTATACTATCTTCAGGTAACAGATATTTTTCAGTAGGGAAAACATCCCAATCCTATTTTTGAGCTATAGCCAAAATTTTCTAAAATGTACTTTTTCAATTAAGCTTCCAGTAGAATGTGTTGCTTTAATATACCGCTATTTTTATCTCCTCAACTAAAACCACGTTACATTTATAAACTAAAACAACCTAACTAAAATCTCAACCTAATTTAAACGACGTCATCTTTACCCCTTTATTACCAAATAAGCCAACAACAAAAACCTAGATTAATTGTTGAGTATACTGAAGCAAATTCAGATCAGTTTTCAAAACCAATGACACCATCATTGTCGAGTTGTAAGTACAGTACGTTATATCATGTGACCTGTTGAAACTAATCATCTGCTAACATGGACTGAGCGGCATTACGTCATTACCTGGAGGTGATATCACGGGGGGAGGGATGTTACGTGTTCGTTAAAATCCCATTTGTGGCCAATATTTGCTAGTTATATCCCACACCACACATCAAGCTTTGTTCAGCGGGGATATCATGTTTGACTTAATGTTTTTTTTCAACACACACAAAATATAAAATAGTTAGTGTTTTCTTCAGCAAGAATATTTCAATATATTTTTATAAACCTTGTTTACTTTAAGGACAAACGATACTTTTCTAGGAAGTAGAATCGTTGACTTCGGATACTGCAAGTAGACTGCATTGTAAAAAAGATGTATGTTATGAATGAACAATACTTAAAGAAAGGTATGAACATCTTTAAATAATCGATTTTCTTGATGATGGAACACTACGTGACAACATAACAAATTATAGTCTAAATAAACAACTGTGTAGGACAATTGCAGAAAACACATGGGCCTACTTAATATGCCGTTTTATCAAGAAATCAAGGAATAGCATTTTAAAGTACCACGGATCACAAACTTGTGCCTAAACGGATTGTTAATATTGTGTTGCGCATAGATCAAACACGACATGTATCACACCAAAACAAAATTATATCTAATACCCCCGTCGCAGCAAACCTGCATACTAAGCGAATTTCCATTTACCCGGCTTGATTTCTTTTAAAATATTCCCTATAAATTTTCAGATTTATTTCCTATTTAAATAACATTAATTTTAGTGAGTAGTTAGGTTTGCTGCTACGGGGAAGATGTTGAGGTGTGTTTTTTCAATTGAAATATTGATAGCTTAGTATGAAATAAACCAAATTGCCAAATTTGATTAAAATATATCCATAAACAAGCAAACTACAACAGTTTATTTATTCTCCATAAGAATAACATGGGAATTTTAAATTTACAATTTTTTTAATTTTCTCCGTAGTCAATGAACATTCAAAAACACTTCAATATACTAAATTATTTGTTTTTT